GACGATAATGCTTTTCATATGACTTTCCTGCTATGAGAGAAATGGGCATTTTCTAGAATTCTCAGTTCTGTAGTACATGGGTCAGAATTGGATTATCAATGTAGAATCAACCCATCAGATTAGTCCTGTTCAGTTCTGCCAGCCTGTTTATAATTTTACATCCTATGTTATAGTTGATACGAAACTTTCTTTTTAAATGATCATGTATTAATCCCCAATTCTACAGAAAGGAAGTCCTTTAGTGAAAACTAGGCAAAATGAAATTTTACTGACAGAGTGCTGTACTGGCAATGCTGGAAGGGCGACTCAATGACATGGCCTTGGATACTGACAATGCAGTCAAGGCCAGGGATGCCAAAGGCCTAAAATGAATCCTGGGACGATGGATCTTGTCAACTTTCAAGAAAGAGAATGAAGCATTTCAGGGAAGGTGGGCTAGGTGATTCTGGAATCTGAATTTCTCAAGTTTAAACCACTCTAGCTTGTTTTATTGACTCGTATGAATCTGATGGAGTTTGAAAAATTATTCTGCATTTCCCTCAGCACAACGCTGAACCCACAGTTGAAACTAAGTCAGTATGTGTGAGGTGATCCTCACACATGGAAAATTGCTTAAGAAGTCACAGCACAGTTGAGGGAAAGAGGGCTCAGCCATCCACATGTTGGATTTAGACTGAGCCCTTCTTCAACAGATACAGAGATTTAAAGAGGAGTTGGGGAACCCATGACTTGGGTTCAAGGAATAAGAGGCCAATCTGCAAGGATCCAAATCCATTCTTAATAAGGATCCTGACAGCAAAGGTCAGCTTTTCATTCACTACTCAAATGGCAACACTCCGAGAGGGCCTTTCCTCCCTAAGGCCTCCAGGTCAGAGTGTAATTATAACTTGGGCTACAGACAAAGAATCTGGGTGTCTGTGCAAGTCCCTTATCATGAAATATAACATGAGCAAGAACAAACGGCATTTACGAGGTTAGCGTTTTCAACTTTTAAACCTACCACTTGAGATAAAGTTAATCTACCACACACATTGCTCACTTAAATATTTTTATTGCGCCCTAGCTCAACAGCTTCTCCTCATTGCCCTAGATGAAACAGGAAATTCCCCTTTACCTGCTAAGTCAATCAGTTCTATTCTGTTTCTGCCAGCTCCATCCTTTTCTCATACCAACCTGTCCCTATCACTCACTCATTCTGTGACTTCAAAGTCATTGTTACCACAAGTAAAGGCCTCTTTGTAGGCCTCTTCCCTCTGCTCAGCTCCCCCCATCTCTGCTGTGCACCTTGTCCCTCAACAGCCCCTCCAAGAGAAAGCAACCTGGTGATGGCGCCAAACTCATTACCACTAGGCTCACACTAGCACCCTGCACTAAAATAATGGCAATCACTGTTGGATACTGGACAATGAAAGGTGCATTAGTCAATCTCACTAGTCTGGATGATTCTATCTTGACTGTATCTCCTAATTCATTATCTCTGTGCCCTTTTCCATGAAAATAAAAGGCCTGGTAGTTTCTGGTGGGATCATTTTGTCTTCCTCCTTCATAAAGGCGCTATGTTTTAGGAGACGGGCCATAGGCATTAAGGGATATGGGAAAGCTTAACAGCATCAACGTTTTTTTTTTATTACATAAAAAGAACTACCCTGCTACAACCTGGCCAGACCTTGGAAGCATGGGGACTGCCGGGCCTGGAAGGAGAAGGACTGAGGGGTGACGGTTTATAAGCAAAGCAACCCACATGGCGCGGCAGACCTCTCCTGTCTTGCCCGCTGCTCCCCTCAACAGTGTATTTTGGTCAGTCTGCCTGTTCTGTTCCCTGCTCTGTCTCTGGTGAATCCTCTCATCCTCCCGCACATCTGGCCTGTACCCTGGTTCTTGTATAAATAAAATAAATCTTAAAAAATAAATAAATAAACTTCTTATCAAGTGCTTTATCTATCTATAAAATTTGTTTCTTGGCTCTAGCTAACCACTGCTTATATTAAGGAATGCAGACTTGGGGCTGCCAGATCTGATTTTTTCAAAGAAGTTAGAAATAGGAAAATGCAGATTTTATGTAAAACTCATAATTTTTAAATGTTGGCTTTATTCAGAATTTAACACACAGGGAAAGCCAAACAAAACACACCTGCAAGCCATATCGGCTTAAAGGCCAACCAATTTACTGTCTCTAATCGAAAATTTGATGTGTGGTTTATGATTCCAAAACCATAAACATAATTTAATGGAGGGAAACTTCTAAAAGAAAACTCAAACTTGTGGACAAAACCATGGTCCATATGTCCCATCATCTATTTAGTCATTTTGCTTTCTAAAACTTTCTCTTTTCTTCCTGGGTCTTTGAAAAGGCTATTAATGTTTGACAATTAAAATATTAAACAAAATAGGTTTAATCAAGGAAGTGCTCCATTGTTCTAGCATCTGTTTTTTTTTTTAAAGAGTGCAATACGGGGTGAATTTCAAGTTGCCATTCTTCTAGCCAACAAGAAGGAAACATGTGAATACTTCTAGCTGGGTGGAAAAACTCCTCTGGACAAGGCAAACACTCACATGTTTGAAAAGACTAGTAAGTGATGCTTCCTGACCACCAGGCATCCCTGATGCTCAAAAGACAAAATGGCAGTGGCGACCAATATGTTGTCCTAAACTCTGTCTGGGTACCCAATCTCAGTTCTGGGGGGGAATCCACAAAGTCTCTTCAAGTCCTATGGGTCTAACCAGAGGTCAGAGTGGCAGAATGGACCTGCTGAAGGCCCAGAGGACATCAAAGCAAGCTCAGGAGGAGCTGGCTCTGGCTCCAACTCTAGCACTGGCCTCTCTAGTGCAGTCAAGCATCTCGCCCAATCTGCCCAAAGCTTTGAGGGATTTCCCTCCAGGGTTTGCATGTTGTTCTCCCATACAACTTGTTTTACCATGCTTCATTTCATGGCACTCTGCAGATAGTGCTTTATAAAAAAACCCAGCAAACTGAAGGTCCCTGGAAGCCCTGCATCAAGCAAGTCTACTGGTGTCATTTTCTGACAGCTGTGCTCACTTCATGTCTCTTTCAAATTTAATTAAGGAACATTCATTTTTAAAAGACATGATACTGTTACACACTTAATAGACTACAGCATAACATAGGCAAGTTTTACATGCACTGGGAAACCAAAACATTCCTGTAACTGACCTTACTGCAATACCTGCATTACTGCAGTGGTCTGGAGCCCAACCCACAGTATATCCGAGGTGTGTCTACACAGACGGTTCCGCACTTACAAGTTTTCCTCATTACCATGGCACAAAAGCAATAAGCATTCAGTTGAAACCATACTTCAAGTTTTGACCTTTGATCTTTCCTCAGGCTCGCAATGCTAAGCAGTGGAAGCAAGCCAGTTTCCAGTCAGCCATGAGCTCATGAGGGTAAATACCCTCTCACCAGCTAGTCTCTAGCCTCATCAGAAGAGAAAGTGAGGACCCAGTTGCTGTAGTGCCCCCATCATCAGCAATTCTTGCTCAATGCCTCAAACATTCTTCACACCCAGTGTGCTTTCAGCTGTGTAGGTGAGGGTGAGGACCTATGTGATATTTCTTTGCAGTGCGCAATGAACACACAACCGAGTCAGCTCTGAGGTGCCAGAGCAGGCTCATGGAGAGCTCTGAGCATAGGAGAGTTCTGAAAATAGGTTGGCTGAGTTTTTTTTTTTTTTTAATAGATTTCTTTATTTATTTATACAAGCACTGGGTACAGTCAGAAGCGCAGGAGGGTGAGAGAATTCACCAGAGTCAGAGCAGGGAACAGAACAGGCAGACTGACAAAATACACTGTTGAGAGGAGCAGCGGGCGCAGCAGCAGAGGTCTATCGTGCCATGTGGGACCCTCTCTGGGGGCTGGGGATCAAACCGGTGCTGCAGAGGCTGCGGGCAGCTTTGCAGCCCAGCGCTCAACCGCTGCGCCACCAGGGGAGGCCCTGGCTGAGCTATTATGTTCAGCAGATCAGGTGTATTAAATGCGTTTCAACTTATGGTATTTTCAACTTATAATGGATTTACGTTGATGGAGCCTCATCATAGTTGAAGAAGCACTAACTCAGTGTTAACTCTTCCCAAGAGCAGACTTATCACCACCTGGGCCTGGTCCTCTGCTCACTAACCCTGGGGCCTCTCCCACTGGTAAACCATAATCAATAAATAGGACTATGGGACTAACAGTGACTTTGCAAGGATTCCACTCTTATAGGACAAAGCACTCAAGGTTTCCTTGTGTTGCTTATGAAAGCACTACAATAAGCCATATTTTCCTAAGAGAGTCTTCATTAAGATAAATGGGGAGAAAACGATTTAATCCCATTCAACCCATGTTCCTGCATTTTGAGGAAGCATCCATTGTACCAAGGACCAAAATAGCTCCACACCATTGGCAGCATGCTTTTTCTAAGAACAGTGAGCATTTGAAGAACAAAACAATAAACTATTTTTCAAGCCCAGTCTTAAACAAAAAGAATGTAATGACACACATAATTAAAATCTGCAACATATTCTGACTGACAAGAAAAGATAACTCTCAGGTTGTGATGGGGGAAGCCATTTCTGGTGGGGTTCAATGGTCTAAGACTGATCAAATCATGTAATCAGAGTGGGGTGTGTTCTCTCAGAAGTATGTGGCCAGCGTCCAATGACTTCACTCAATAGCATTTTGACATATGGACATTCGAGCCAACTCTCCAACGGCCACACACACTGTTCCTCAGCGAGGACCAGCAGTACTTGCAAACCAATATCCTGTACTTCCTTTATCAGTCACTCTGTGTTCTAGGTACCTACTACACAATCACCCGCACGCAGTGGTATCCAGCCACTACTACAGTTCCTTCTTTTCTGATAACTAGCAGGCTTATTTACTGATGTTTACTCCAAGGGGAAAAAAATCACAACTGCTTCTTTCCTTTTCCATAAATACCAACAAAATACCAAATAGGTCTCAAATCCTCAGTATAGAAAACTCAGTTTATTCTTACCTCAGCAGCTTGAGTCTCTTGATGCAGCAATGTAAGTCCAGTCAAGTCTTCTAAGAAGGAATGTGAAGAGTTAAACACCTTCGCTAGGAAATTAAATCCTTCTCGTTCATATTGATCAAGAACCTGTAAAACATTTATATTTTTAAAAAGAGGCTGCAGGTTTTAAATGCATATTAAGATATTTTTTCATTTCTAACAAGTACCTGTAATAAATTAAATTACCACTAGATTTAAATATGAGGCTATTAATACAATCTGGTGGGCAATGGAATGCTACACAATAATGAAAGAAGTACAACTATATGTAACACATATAGATCATTCTCACAATGTTAAACAGAAAAAAGGACAAACAGTATGTTACATGTTTGCATTTATATAAAGTTAAAAAAAAAAAAACGAGCAAACTGAACCTATGGTTTAGAAGTCAGGAGCATGGTTAGCCATGGGGGTGACTGATTAGCAGGGGAGTTTCTGGGGTACTGGTAATATCTGTTTCTTCATCTGGGTGCTGATACAAATGTATATTTTGTGAAAATCTGTCAAGTGATCTTTTCTCTCCGCTGTCCTTCAAAGAATGTTCAAAAGATAACCACATGCAATTTGCAGCAACATGGATGGCGCTGGAAGGGATCATGCTCAGCGAAATAAGCCAAAAAGAAAAGGAAAAATACTGGATGGTATCATTCATAGCAGGAATCTAGAAAACTTAAATAAGGGACCAGGAAAATGAATAACTATAAGAAGGTGAAAATCAAAATCAACAAAAAACTATGAACCAGAGACACTCTATGGGGGTTGGGGGGCAGGGAGGGGAGGGATTGGGGTCAAAATAAGGAGGTTGCAATTGTATGGGGAATATAAAAATAAAATTTATTTAAAAAAAAAGATAAAGGTCAGTAGTCTCAGCAGGAGAACAATATGAGGACAGAGTTCTTAGAAGCAAACGACAACAAAAAGTGGTGATCACATCACATTACAGGAACTGTGACATGTACATGTACCCTGAGGAGGGTGCGTGCCAGCCAGGGGGGAGTATGAGAAAGTAAGCGGGTCACTGCACAGAAAGTTTGCTGAGTAATCTCAGGCCCCTGCTCAGAAGAGGCTAAGTTTGGGGAAGAAGGTGGTTATGCTTGAGGCTAGGAAGGTTAGGGCAACAAAAGGTCAAAGAAATTGGGGGGCTGGTGAGTCCCCAAGAAGGAGCTGGGAGAGGGGCCCGAGCCGGTAAAAGGGTCCCACAGGCTGGAGGGAACAGAGCGAGGAGGATCCCTGAGACTGCAGGAGGAGGGCTAGTGCAGTCTCAGGCACTTACAAAGTCTTTGATTCACCATGTAAATTAACTTGACACCCCAATGCCTATATAAAAAGGCACTATAGAACGGAATCCCCCAGGAACAACGTGATTTTTCACACCAGAATGTGATCTCAGGAAAACATTCTGAAAAGCTAAAAGTCTTTATTTAGTGATCACTTATTTCCGAGTGACCCAGTCACCTCAAACCCTTTGTGCCAGGTTTCCAGCAAGAGAGGAGACATGGGTCTGAGACACCAACTCTGAAGATAAAAACCGAAATCATTCCAGACATGATACACTGTCGGACCTTAATTAAACTTGCAGATTTCAAGTCCCTGTTTCCACAGATAATTCTGGAGAGCTACAAATACGGGCAGTGGAAAAACTAACAGCAAGGGCAGCGTGAGTAACGGCCTCCCCAAGATTGGGATGCACAGAAAGCTTAATGCTGAGACATTATTAATAGCTCTGGCTTGAAAATATGTGGAAAAACTTAATCCTCGAGGGGCATATTTAATCATGTAAGGGCTTTCCAGTATTCCCTTTACGTGCTGGGAAGTTAATCTGTGTTACGAGTATAAGCAGCTTATAAAAAGGTAGGAGGACTTTTTTCCCCCCTACAAACAGCTTAACGTTCTTAAAGGGGAAAATGTGTTTTAAATTATTCCCCCCAAAAGACAAGAAAAGGTGCGGTCACAATGAATGTGGGCACTGCAACAATCGTCAGTCTACGTACAACAACCCCCTCCTCCCCACTCCAGTGAGACTGTTAAATCTGTGGCCCCGAGAAGGGTGCGTGTCCCATTCTGGGTGTACTGATAGCTTTGTCCATATTCTAACAGCACCAGGGGGAAGTGTGATAATTAGAGAAATTATAATCACTCTTCAGTGGAAAGATATGGGCTGCTTTCTTTAAAGTCCTGTAAGGCCAGGTCTTCTTTACGTACTGCACATGTGTGTGCACCCCTGAACAGAGATGGCAGACGCTCCCCTTAAAATGGGATTTTAGGAATATCAGTCCTTTTGTTGTGACTCTGTGGTGATTTTTTACTACACAAAACCCACACTCCAGACAGGCACTTGTGTCCCTCTGGAATCCTCCAGTTTTGGACAACTCCCTAGAGAACGCCTTTCATTGGGCCTAAGAGCTGAAAACCCCATGCAATGACTTTCATTTCATGAGAGCAGAAGGGATTCAAAGCCTGCAACTCTTGTCTATTATTCTTCAACGAGGACCAACAACTGTGAATCCTGACCCCTCCACCCCCAAACAGCTTAAGTATTTCTAACGGGGGAAGGGCACATGCAGTGTGTGCAACCTCTTAAAGTCTCTGTGGTTCAGAAATGGTACTTCCCTGTTCTTGATTAATTTAAAAATATGCACATGTTCTGATTTCCAGAAGACTTAGGGCAAGCCTGCCCGATGTCCCAGAAAGAGTCGTGAAGAGGATGCCTGGAGGTTGCTGATACCCATTACATGAGCATCCACAAAAGAAGAGTCAAAGTTGTTGGCAGAGGCTTTGCTTCAAGTTGAGGGCGAAACCCTGTATTTTCCAGAGGAGACCATCTTGGGGAGAAGCAGCCCCGCTTTGGATGAGCTAGAAGCACTGCTAAAAAGACCAAGAGATCCCTTGGTCAGTTTCTTTCTCTTGGTGTCCTGGGTTCTCTCACCAAAATTGAAGAATCAAAGCAGGTATAAGCCCCAAGTTCAAAGGTCCTGGGAACACCCCTGTCCCACCCTCACCACTCCCAGTTTCCAGAGGACTGTTGTCTTGGAAAAGATTTGGCTCCTTCCTCATCCCTCCTGAAGCTGCCCCGCCTACAGTGGCTTCCTGTCCTTCCTGTCAATGACGTCTTCTACTCCCATCAAAGTTCAGCTCCACCTCAAGTCCTGTGAGAAGCCTTCCCTGAAAACTCCACCCTTTGGGAGCACCCCTTTATTGTCTCTGGCCCCACTCTCCATGGCACACTGCCTTGCCATAGGGCCTGAAGGACTGCTCTGCCTCCTGCCCCGGTGATCAGGGGTGATGGAGTGTTCAGACATCAACTAGATGTTCACTTTTGTTTCTGTTTCTTCCTATGTTGGTGATATAAAGCAGACAATGGATGAGGAAACAGCTTCATATGGAAAGAGGTAGCTTTTATCCTAACTCAACTCAATTTGTTGCTATAAACTTATTCTATTGGATGCAGGCAGGATTTACAATGCCAAACTTCAAAAAAGGACAGATCTGATTCAAAATATGTGAGAGCATGTCAAAATCTATAGCACTCATTAATTACTGGAATGCTGAAAATACAGAACAGATAAATCTCTTTCTCTCCCTAAAGTCACCATGTAATGTACATTATTCTTAGACACCCCAATATAAGATGGGCACAATAGTGATTTGATACCCAATCAAAATATCAAGGAGCTTTAACACTGAGATAATTGACCAAGGAATAAAAGTCCCAATACTTTAGTATTTTTAATTAAGCTTCTTATATTGTAACACACAACTGTATTATTAACGAAAGAATCAAACAACAGTGTTTCTTGTTTTTGTTTTTTTTTGTTTTTTTTTTCATCCACCAAATCAGGAATCTAGAAAACTGGGTAGAAGAAAAGAAACTGAAAAGTGGGAGTCAGCATGCAATGGGGGTAATTTGGCAACGCTGACCAAAACACATCACCTATTTGACCCTGTTTCTCTCTAAAATGGGGCTATAGCCCATGCCAGTATCCTCATTCCTGCCATAAAAAAAAGGATTTCATGATTCTAATCACCGACAATGAATTACTTCCAAGGATAATAGAAATCTGCATTTACTACTTTTTACTATTATCATTGCCAAGTAGGGCTTGATTTCAGCCCAGAAAATACAGAAGCAGACACAGCGACATCAGCTAAAACTGTGAATTCTCTCCTCTGAAAGAGAGCACAGTGAAGAATCTGGGGAGTATTTAGTCAAGAAAAACTACTGTACCTCAGTAAAAACAATGGGCTTGTGGTGCTTTAATTTGCCCCATTCCCCACCTGTTTCCCTCTTCCATCCAGACTGTAGCCTCGCAACTCAACAACATCCCATCAAAGTGAAACCTGTCTCACAGCCACTAGTGCAGGCAGACTGTGGCTGAGTGCCTTCCAAACAACACTGCCACCTGTTTGGTGGTTCCCAGCACTCACATGTCCTTGACCTGACTCAGATCTCAGTGAGAAAGCCTTTTCCCAGGGTTAGTTGCTAAAAAGCATCAGGGGCAATTGCTTAACATTGTGATCTCCTGAGGTGGTGGATAACAGTTGGAGCAACAAAAGCTAACCTAAGAACTTAATGGAAAATCTGTGGGACACCACAGCAGTTTTGCAAAGCTCCAACATACTCTTGGGAATCTAGATTTCCATGCACAGGCACAGGGCAAGGTGCAGGCCCAGGTCATGCACATGCTCAGGAAAGATCTGGGGAGGCCCTGAGCACTCACCTCTGGCTGACCTGAAGGTCCTTGCACCCAGGAGATGAAAGGTAAAGCAGCATTCTTAACTACCTGGCTGAGTTTTGAAGGCATTTCCCAACATGCAAAGAGTCCCATGGGGGACTGACTGGTTCCAGGCATTGTGGGGAGCTCTGTCTAATCATTTAGATGACCACTAAGATAACCTGAGCAAAAACTTCATGGCCACAGGGAACACAGAGTATAAACTCAACAGATTTAGTTCAGAGAAGTCACTAAATAAGACAACAACAACAGCAAAGAATAACAGCAATAGACCACGGAGAGGGAGTATCTGAATTTCAAGAGCTGCCACATTTTATTATTTTAAATGTTCAGTTCTCAGCAAAAAATGAC